GCCTTCACTGCCCAGGGCCCTTTAGAGACCGTGGGCCCCTGGGCAATTGCCCAATTGCCCATATGGTTAATCCGGCCTTGATTCAGGCGTACGCACAGTTTGATACACCTGGATTTTTTTGTGCGTACGCTGTTTTCTGGATTTGACCGTACGTCAGGTTTCAGTAAGAAATCCACACAAGTCTTTGTACATGAGGCCCCTGGTGATTTCAGCAGTACTTACAGAGCACAGTAAAATTCTGCATTTCTGTTGGCATGATGATAGGATTTACTCACACATCCAGAGGTAGTACATGATTTTGACAGTCTTCTGGAACTCGACAGGAATATCCACGGTGATATCGTGGTAGAAACAGGGTCCCACAGGGAAATTCTCTGGGAGGGGAGGCCAATTGTTTTTTCTGCCTGGAAAAATCAAAATTTGAATTGGAATTAATTAAAAAATAACAAGTTTAGGTTTCTTGTTGGGCAATAAGGAACATGCGCGGAAGATGATGTGACACCACATTCAGAACGCAGTGTTTACAGAAGAAAATATGGATGCAACACGTTGGCATGTATGGGTGGTTGTTGTGAAATCAGAATCAATGAAATTACCTGTTACACTTGTTTCATCCAGTGTTTACATTTGACCCTGCCTGTTCTGTTGCAGTATTATGTTTTTGGAATGGTGACACTAACTAAATTATAGATCCCATAACATTAGTATCAATATGGTCTGACACCAACGTTACTATTATACGTTGATGTGGATTCTCAGTCAGGACATGACAAATTTAAAGAAAAAAAAACAACTGGACTTCTGTTCTGTAGCTAAAGTGTGGAGTTCCAAGATTTAGACTGTACCAGGTTGGTTCCAATATTCTAAATACTAAATACTACTTCCCAGTGCTTACCAGTTGATGAAATGGGACATGACCATTCAGACTAGGGTTGCTTTGAAAAACACTGTATATTTATCCAATTTAGTACCACATACTGAAAACACCTGGGTCAGATTTGAAAGAAAAAAATCGTATTTGTCACGTTACGGGTCACATTTGCCTGCAGTGTGAATGCAACTAGTTTTGTGTAATGGTACCACTCAATACAAATACATGCACCAATATACACTGCCTGGCCAAACAAAAAATGTTGCCACCTGGATTTAACTAAGCAAATAGGTACAAGTCTCATATTGTATGATTACTGTGATTATCTTTCAGCTGGCAACAAGTTATTTAACCCCAACTGGTGCAATGAGTTGCTTCTCAGTGCTTTAAACAACCATGTGGAAAGACATCCTGTGATCGTGGAAAAGATAGTCTGTTTGAGAAGGGTCCAGTCACTGGCATGCATCAAAACAGCATGGGTTAAGAACTGTCCAACGCATTATTAAAAGCTGGAAGAATAGTGGGGACCTACTGTCTTCGAGGGTGCACCCATCAATCCTAGTGCCTACTGTACCAGTGCTCTGATCTGGGATTGCTTCAAATCTTAAAGTGTAACTTACCCCAAAATCAACTTTTTTTAACAAATAAACTGTCTAAATTGTGTCTTAAGGGTAATACCTTGCTATTTTTGACCTAAATTTAACATTTTCGTCTAAAATAGTTTAAATATTCAATATTTGTTCAAAAAACGTCTTGGTGCTGCCTCCTATGGGTTTAAATTTAGACTATTATATCTGAAGTACCTTGTGACGTGCTGTACTGTGTGACGTGTCACAGTACTGTGCTCACTATAAAAGGACCTCTGTAGAGACACGCCCTGCAGAGATTCAGGAGTTAGCCATAGCATTGTTGATGGTAGCTGTGGTAGAAGCTGCCTTCTCCTCAGCCACAGTGAAAACATGGAGTCAGATGAGCTCAGCGGCTCGCTCCGCTGTATGTCCGGATGTGTATATCAGGATGTCCGGACCCCTGCAGCAGGGGTCCGGACCCCTGCTGCAGGGGTCCGGACCCCTGCAGCAGGCAGCTGGATGACAGAAACTTACCTCGAGGCAGTGATGGAAAAAAAAAAGACGTGGATGTCCGTGATCAGCTCTTCAAACTGCTCCTGAAAACTTTTCAAGCAAGTCCTGGTACGGACCGGTCCGAACAGAAGTTACAGAACCGGACAGTGACTGCTCCGTGCGGTCCTGCTGTCACAGAACCGGACCCTCGCTGACACTCACCGCTCCTCCAGGTTGCTCCGTGTCAGAACATCCCGAACATCCACAGGTGTCCCCACGAAGACTAAAAA